ATGGAAAATTGCGTCTGATGGACCCCAGGAGGGGTCCGGGCATTGATTTTGAGCGGATTTGGCCTCATCCATCCCTCCTCCTCCTCCTCCTCCTCCTCCTCCTCCTCCTCCTCCTCCTCCTCCTCCTCCTCCTCCTCCTCTTTCTCGTCCTCTTCCTTTTGTTTGCTCAGTGTAAGCCAGCGTGGACTCCTAGCGGTGGTTTCTTGCAATCTATGCGACGAGATCTAGCTCGTGCATTTTAGGTAGTGAAACCCACGTGGTGCAATCCATGTGATACAATCTATGCAGTGCAGCTGCCGAGCTTGAAATTGTCAACTCCACTACACGCGCAGTCATCCCACCAACCCACCCACCCGCCCACCCACCAACAACATGAATTGCAAAATCTTGGCGGCCGCGATTGCAATGAATATTTGGCGCCAGCTGGCGCATCGCTGCGGCCGCGCTAGCGCGCGCACGCTTGCGCGCAGGCTCGCGCGCAGAGCGGCCAGCTATGATTGCCCGACAGACGCGGCCGCGGTGGCGCTGACCGCTGGGGAATTCCCAGCGAGTCTTAGTTGCGTTGACGCGCGGGCACTTTAGTGCGAGTCAGTGTTTCGGGCGGGCGCGGTATCATGGCGACGTCGACATCGGCTGAAGCGATGATGGTGGCCTCTTGGTGCGTCTTGGAGGCCTCTTGGGCCATCTTGAGGCAATTATGGGAGTCTTGGAACAATCTTTCGGTTACTCGGGGCACTCTTGGACCAGCTTGTGGGCCTCGTGGTGCCCTCTTGGCCGGTCTTTGGGCCCTCTTGCGCCCGAAAAAGACACGCGACAATCCGCAACAGGTCCCAAGGGGCACTCGCGGGATCGCGACCCAGAATCCAGACTGCGAGGGCGTCGATGTGGATGCGTTTGCCGCTCGGGAGGCCCACGCCCCAGCATTGGCAGCGGGGCACGGAGGCGGATCTTCGGACTCGTGAAACTAGGCCTCCCAGGTGGGGTCGGAGTCGATGGGATCGGAGGATTGCGCCGCGTCGCCAGAGCATCGCCGATGCGGGTCGATGTGGCCCAATTTTTCTCCACGCCGACGTCGCTGGTGTATCGCGGACGTTAACGCTGCAGCATCGGCGATGCACCAGGGATGCGGCCGCTATCCTCCGACATCAGCGGCGCGGACCCCCTTCGGGAGGCCTCCAGTGAAGCGAGCAGGACGGGCAGAACGAGCAGGAGAAGGGAGGAGGAGGAGGAGGAGGAGGAGGAGGAGGAGGAGGAGGAGGAGGAGGAGGAGCAGGGAGGGGGAGGGAGGAGGAGGAGGAGGAGAGGAGGGAGGAGGGAGGAGGAGGAGGAGGAGGAGGAGGAGGAGGAGGAGGAGGAGGAGGAGGAGGGAGGAGGAGGTGGTGGTGGTGGCTTGGGTAAGCATCTGGTGGGGCCGCGGGCACAGCCCCTTTAGCGGCACCTCCCGCCCAGGGATGGCTGGGGGACAGCTCACCACCCGTCGCGGGGGCCTAGTACCGCAGCGTCACTGTGCCCCTCGGTCCGAGCGACCACCGGGGGGAGGATTCCCCTGGGGGGAACCGCCTGTTCCCACCACGACCCCAGGATGGCCAGCAATACCTATCTCCCGTACCTGGGGGCGGGAACCCCAGAACAGGAGAGAGCTACGGCTGCGGCCCCGACCTGGGACGGGGGGAACAAAGCGATCCCTCCAGGGGGGCCCCGGTGGCCTTCCGTGCCGGGAGAGCAACGAGAAACGCGGAGGGGGGATGAGCAGCGTGAGAGCGCCCGCTCACCTCCGCTGGGGCCCCGCCTGTCCGAGCCAACCCTGGGGCCACCGCGGGGCGCAGCTGCGAGGCGTTTGGAGAAGACCGGAGGAGGCCCTCCCCGGAGTGCGGCAGCCCCGCCCCCACCCCAGCTCGGCTGCGGGACTCGGCCCTGCCTGCGGGGAGGGACGGGGGGGGAAGGGAGGGAGGGAAGGGGGGAGGGAGGGAGGGAGGGAGGGGGGAGGGAGGGAGGGAGGGAGGGAGGGAGGGAAGGGGGGGAGAGGGAGGGAGGGAGGGAGGAGGAGAGAGGAGGAGGATGAGGAGGAGGAGGAGGAGGAGGAGGACGACGACGAGGACGAGGAGGAGGAGGAGGTGGAGGAGGAGGAGGAGGACGAGGAGGACGAGGAGGTGGAGAGGAGGAGGAGGAGGCGGAGGAGGGGAGGAGGGGGAGGAGGAGGGAGGAGGAGAGGGAGGAGGAGGAGGAGGAGGAGGAGGAGGAGGAGGAGGAGGAGGAGGAGGAGGAGGGGGAGGAGAAGGAGGAGGAGGAGGAGGAGGAGAAGGAGGTGGCAAGGATAGTGGTGGTCCAGTTCTGGGCGTTTGGGGGGGGAGGGCAGCCCGAGGCCTTCGGGGTGTTGCACTCTGACGCCAGTGCGTTCGATTTGTGTGTCTTGGTCGACACGGTTGTGTCTAAGGTTTTTGTCTCCGGGCGCTGCTTTCGGGCCCTGGGACTGTCAGGAATGGACCCAGCATGAAAGTCTCTACCCCAGGGAAGTCCCCTGGACGATTCTTCGACACGAGCTGCAAACCTTTCATTCCATTTTCCCAAGGGGGGCTGGAGCAGTGCTCAGATCAGACGGGGATTCAGACAGGTGGCCTGAACTGAGATCGCGAAGCTGTGATCAGAGTCATGCATTTCCCGCTTCGTCGTTGGCCAGACATCCGTAGCCGCTTTTGCGTTTGGCATGTAATACTTCACTTGCGCAGGTTTGAGTGGCAACGTGAAGGCGCTGATGGACGAGATGAAAACCCGTCAGGCGTTTGCTTGTCTCAGATGAGTCAAGGCCATGGTGGCCAATGTTATCATGACATGGTCAGTCTTTCTTCGCTGTTGTCGTCGCACGTCAAGCTAGCGATGCGTAACCCAAGTGTAAAGGACTAAGCGCTCGCGGTGAGAGGAAGGAGGGATCAGGGGGGTGAGGATGGGATGTCCCACTGGCAGTTATGTAGGCAACAGCAGAATAATTTGCCAGGGTCGAGGACTTCGTTGGTGCACGACTCGTCTCCGCCGGGCGTCCCGAAGAGGAAGAGGAGCATTCGTCGTCATCTGTCGTCCCCCATTGCCGCCCCCGCCCCTCTAGGAGTGTGTCATTGCTGCCGCCGCCGCCCAGGGGGATGGGCCCTGGCCGTAGACGACGACGTCGTGTTTCGCCCCCCTCAGGAGGAGGCAGAGGAGGGAAAACACCCTGGAACCGTTGAGGGGTGATTTCCAGCTGGGGCGCTGCCGAGATTCGGTCGGGGAGCCCAGCCTCGAGAACAGGTTCCCCAATCAGAGGTTCGATTTAGAAAAAATACGAGGGGTCCTCAGGAGGGGGCAGAGGAGGAGGGGAACATCGGGCGCAAACCATACCGGAGAGTTTGGTGAGGCCGAGTCCCCTCACGTGACGGGCTCTCTCTCCAACATGATTGTGCTGCGGTACGGTAGAACGAGGGATAATTGGGAAGGAGGAGAGGAGGCAGGAGGTCAAGGCTAGATGGTTGAGGAAGGCGGGAGATGAGGCAGGAGGAGAGGAGGAGAGGAGGCAGGAGGCTGAGGAAGGTACAGGACGCAGGAGAGGAGGCAGGAGGAGAGGAGGCAGGAGGCAGGCGGTTGAGGAAAAGGAGTAAGATGGGCACTCATACGCGGCAGCGCTTTCTAACGCACGTGCGGGCAACAATGAAGGAAGATGAGGAGGACGAGGACGATGACGAGTACGAGGAGGAGGACGAGGAGGAGGAAAAGCAGAAGGATCATGAGGACGAGGAAGATCAGGATGATGATGATGCTGATGCTCATGCTGATGATGACGATGCTGATGATGTTTATGCTTATGTTGATGATGCTGATGATGATGGTGATGGTGACGGTGCCTATGATGGTGATGATGCTCATCATCATGATAATGGTGATCGATTATGATTATGCTGATGAAGATGATGGATGATGCTTGTAGTGCTGCTGAGGGTGGAGGAGGAGTTACCATAAGTCATCGGAGTGGTAAGTTTTGCTGTCGCCCTCGTGTTGACCCCTGGAGGTCCCCAGAGGCTCCCAGAGGCCTCCGGTGCGGGATGTTGAGTTGAAACATCAATCGCGTAAAAATGGGCTCCGTAGCCATTTGGGCTCAAGCCATTTTGGCTCAAGAAGAAGTGTGGGCACTGGTGCTCTGCCAATCCTCTGGCCAACAGACTTCTCACGGTCGGAGAGATGCGCGAGCTCGTTCACATCCAGGGCGGCCAGTGCGGTAACCAGATAGGAGCGAAATTCTGGGAGGTGATTTCAGATGAGCACGGGATTGACCCCACGGGCACCTACCACGGCGACTCCGACCTCCAGCTTGAGCGGATCAACGTGTACTACAACGAGGCCACGGGCGGGCGCTACGTGCCCAGGGCAGTGCTCATGGATCTGGAGCCTGGCACCATGGACAGTGTCCGCGCGGGGCCGTTCGGACAGTTATTCCGGCCGGACAACTTCGTATTCGGCCAGACTGGCGCTGGAAATAATTGGGCGAAAGGGCATTACACCGAAGGAGCCGAGCTGATCGATAGCGTCCTCGACGTCGTTCGCAAGGAGGCCGAGGGGTGCGATTGCCTGCAGGGTTTCCAAATGTGCCATTCCTTGGGAGGAGGCACAGGCGCTGGGATGGGAACCCTGCTGATCTCCAAGGTCCGCGAGGAATACCCGGATCGCATTATGGAGACTTTCAGTATTATCCCCAGCCCAAAAGTTTCGGATACCGTCGTGGAGCCGTACAACGCCGTCCTTTCTTTCCACCAGCTCGTGGAGAACGCGGACGAATGCTTCCTGTTGGATAACGAGGCGCTGTATGACATCTGTTTCAGGACGTTGAAGCTGACGACTCCAACGTACGGGGACCTGAACCACCTCGTGAGTGCGGCGATCAGTGGCGTGACTACGTGCCTGCGTTTCCCGGGCAGCTCAACTGTGATTTGCGCAAGATCGCCGTTAATCTGATCCCGTTCCCGCGCCTGCACTTCTTCATGACTGGTTTCGCGCCGCTCACGAGCCGGGGTTCCCAGCAGTACAGAGCCCTGACAGTCCCTGAGCTGACCCAGCAGATGTTCGATGCGAAAAACATGATGTGTGCGGCAGACCCACGCCACGGCCGCTACTTGACCGCCGCGGCGCTCTTCCGCGGTCGCATGTCCACGAAGGAAGTTGATGAGCAGATGTTGAATGTGCAAAATAAGAATTCGTCGTATTTCGTCGAGTGGATCCCGAACAACATCAAAGCGTCAGTTTGCGACATCCCCCCGAAGGGATTGAAGATGGCGGTGGCTTTTGCCGGCAATTCTACCGCGATCCAAGAAATGTTTAAGCGTGTAGCAGAATATTTCACTGCCATGTTCCGGCGCAAGGCGTTCCTTCATTGGTACACAGGGGAGGGCATGGACGAGATGGAGTTCACCGAGGCCGAGAGTAACATGAACGACCTGGTTTCCGAGTACCAGCAGTACCAGGACGCCACCGCCGAGGAGGAGGGCGAGTTCGACGAAGAAGAGGAGGGCGAGCAGTGATGACGTTATTGACTCGCTGTGGCCAGCCTCCGAGGTCGTGCAACAGATGAGCGAGCAAATCAGCGCTCACGAGCCGTCGGCCAAGTACACATTCATGCATGTTGAGCGGCCGTTTCCCCGCTCACCGCGAGAATTTGCCTCGAGCTCGGACGGCCAGACTGCCAGACCGTCTATACGAAAAAGAAAAAAAATCGCGTAAGAATGGGCTGGCCGAGGTGCTGGAGCCCGCTTCTGTTATGAATTGGCGCCGCGCGTGAAGCAGACAGAACAGGGTGGCGTCGGAGAGCACGTGGATTCCGGCCCTCACTGTTGGCTTCTGGCCTCATTTTGCTGCACTCGCGCGCTGGTTTGCGCTGTCTGTGTTGCCTTGAAGTGTGTCTTTCGATCCATTTCGGACGGGGCTGGGACGAGGATGGTGCCGTTCCAAAGCGTTCCGGAACGCTCTCAGAGCTTTATTGGAACGCTCCGATAAGGCCGCGGCGCCCGAGACATGCTCCAGGGCCGCCGGCTCTCAGACATTCTCGAGTATCCTTCGGAGCCTTGGGAGGCCGGATTTTATCCTCGTCCTGGCTTCGTCTTAGCTTTAGGATTAAGTCGGGCGCGTCCCTCTACGCGAGGAATATTCAAGCATAGTAAAACAATAGTCTGGGGACGATTCTTTGACCATTGATGGGCATGTTTTGAGCATGTTTGGACTATTTTCAATTTTTTCGCTCAAACATTCCCCCTGTGGGAGGACATGCCCGACCTAGTCTTAGGAGGCCTTAGAAGGCATTTTTCCTCCTTACCGGATTTTATCCTCCTCCTGGCTTCGTCTTAGCCTTCAGGAGGCCTCAGGAGGCCCGATGACGAGGTCCCACGCAGCGTCGATTGGCATCGACTTGGCGTCGATCCGCGTCGATCTGGCGTCGGTTTGCGTCGACTACCGTCGACAAGCGTCGATTTAGCGTCGATTAGCGTCGATTAGCGTCGATTTAGCGTCGGTTTGCGTTGGCCAGCATCGTTTAGCGTCGATTCGCAAGAGTCGGCGAGATGGTACGAGAGGCTCCCATGAGCTACCGCCGAAGTGTTGGATCGCGGACCACCTTACCACGCCAGTCGTTGAAAGCAGGTATTTTCGGGTCCTCAGATCCCAATCTACTTTCGCCGCCTTCCTACTTCAAGAGTCGAGTGGTGTCCCCTCTTTCCTCTATTCCGGGGGTGGGCCCAAACCCAATATACTTCTGGCGCCTTTTTCTATTTCACATTTGTACCCATTTCTTACGGCAGATGTCTAGACCTTTGCACAGAGGTGTTGGGTGTTCGATCGCGGACCCCTTGTGGAGCGCAGCCACCCAGCTTTCGCGACCGAGAACGTTGGAAACCGCCGGAGATCAGCGAAGACAGTCGGAGAGCGTCAGAAAACCAGTTTTGATGTCTTCGATGAAGCCATCGCCGAAGAGCGCCGAATGCCGCTCAAGGCCGACGGGTAACAAGGGGTCTGTATCCGAATGCGTCGGAGTACGTGGAGCCCTCCCTCCGTCCCTCGGTGGCAATCTCAGGGGGGGATCGGGTCAGTGGCGGCTAAATCGACCCCCACATGTCCACAGATCGCTCGCAGCACTCGAGGATGGTGTTCTTGGCGCGCCGATGACGGCAACACCAATCCACTCTCCCTCTGGGACTTCGCCCCCTGCTCCAGTCCATGGCGTACCTTGTCATGTGCAAGATCTTCAACACCGCCTGTACTCTGCACCCTCAGGCCGCCTGAGGCCTCGCCCGCCCGCGCCCTGTCTCCCCAATTGGTGCTTTGCGCGGCCCGCCTAGCTCTCAACCAGAAGACTCGCTCCCGACCCGCAGACCCAAAAAAAGTCCACAGATCGCTGGCAGGAGCCCACTAGGAGCCCGAACGCCGCTCGGTTTCGCCGTCGGGGGCCTAACGCCAATCTGCCGATGACGTATCGCAGATTTCAGCTCGACGTGACAGGAACATGCACACTCGGAGGTCCGCGCGGACTTCTCGGATCGGCGTTGGACCCCCTTTCATGGCGCGCGGAGCGTGCTAGGGGCGTCGCCGGAGGCGCCGCCAGGGGGCCCCAGGCGGCAATTTGGGACGATCCGGCCACCCCAGGACCGTCTCGGCGAGGCGCAGCTGCTGGAACGCACCCCGAGGCTGGAAATCAGCCGGCCGAGACCCAACGAATACATTCGAAGGCCTCCAGCCTCGAATCCGAAACTTGCCCCCCCCTCTCCCCCCCAACACACACACACACACACACCCCTCCCGCGCAGCTCCTCGTGCTCACCGTTGTCCGTGAGTACGACGCGCCCGACAGCGCTCCCGGATCCGCGCGCAACGGCGGCTACGAGGACCCAGGCCAGGCTCCCTCTCTCGCGCCGCCACCTCGCCTTCCAAAGGGCCTACCTCCAGGGTATGTTTTCGATCCGATACGATATTTCAACAAAAAACAAACGACATCACCCCACCTACGGCCCTCCATGTTGCGCTACGGCCCATCAGGGGCCGTAGCGTACACCATGCAAAAACCACGCCCGACGTCTTGGTATACGCTACGGCCCGTGGGGCCGTAGGTGGGGTGGCGCCGTTTGTTTTCTGGCCCACTAGTCCAAAACAAAAACATCAGCCTACATTTTCGACCGTCCGCGCCGATTTCTTGGATCGGCGCGGGGCCCCCCCCTTGGCGGCGCCTCCAGCGCCCCCTGGCGCGCGGAGCCAGGGAGGAGGTCAGCGCCAGGGGCGGATTCGTGTGTCCCAGAACCCTAGACCCTAAACTCTCAGCCCCAAACCCTAAACCCCCAGGGAGGAAGTCGGCGCCAGGGGCGGACCTGTGTGTCCCAGACCTTCTGTCCGGCAGGCGGGGCCTGCGGGTCCAGCACCGGCTGCCTTCCTCGCATGGCGAGGACGGGTCTGTGCAAGTCCGCGACGCTGCCATCGGTTGGTCGAGCATACACGCCGGTCGTTGAGAGTAGGTATTGCTGGATCCCCAGATCCCAATATACTTCAAGCGCCTTCCTACTTCAAGAATCGACATGCGTTTGCTGTGTTGTGTTGTTATCTGGGAGGACCTGGACCCAATCTACTATACCCGCCTTCCTACTTCATGTTTCTACCTACTTTTTCCGACCGACGTGTACAGGCGGGGCGCTGAAGAAGAAACCCTTTTCGTTCGGTAGGGGCTCAGTGTTCCTTAGTTGTTTTTCAGTTCGCCTTAGGTTTTCCTTAGGTCTCCGATGGGACATCGAAGTTTGTTGGTGTTTTATATATGTTGATGTGGTTTAGAAGAGGTGCAGGAGGATTTGCATACCGTAGCCTTCGGCTGAGGTGTTGAGCAAAACATATCATCTCAGGTTTCAATGTAGATCATAACATGGTTACGCGGAGCTAAGTTGCGATTCATGGCGACGCTCGAGCAGCTGGCCCAGGCACTTCAAGAAGTGCGCCAGCAGCTCGGAGAAGAGAGGGCAGCACGACTCGCAGCAGAGCAGCGAGCAGGAGGCGCAGGACGCGCAGACCCCGCCCAAGCTGGCGGAAGACTCGATGGCGGGAACGAGCAGCACATCGACCCCAGAGTGCTGAACAAGTGCCCGATCTTCAACGGAAAAGATGAATCATGGCAGGAGTGGGCTTTCATCTTCGAGAGTGTGTGCGGCATGGCGGATTTGGAAGACAGCCTCGACGCAGCATCGAGAGAGGTGACGGACTTGAAGTTCGCCAACTTCAACCCAGAGCAGCAGAAGAAGGCCAAGCAACTCTACTACTTGCTGGTCAACACAGTACGTGGCAAAGCACTGACGCTGGTCAGAGGCGCGGAGAAGCATAATGGGGTTCTCGCTTGGAAACGGATCAAGGCAGAATACGCGCCAGACGTCGGAGGCAGACACACCGCACTACTGATGGGAGTTCTACAGCCAGGATGGGACCAAAGAGCGACGAGTGCCGAGTTCGCGAACGACCTGACCGAGTGGGAGACGCGCATCACGGAGTACGAGATGGAGAGCACAGAAAAGGTCAGCGACTCGATGAAGATTGCAGTATTGGCAGGCAACGCGCCAGAGTCGATCAGGTCGATGGTGAGATTGGCCACAGGACCCGCAAATGGGAGATACAAGGACGTACAGCAGAGTATCAGAGAGTACTTGCAGTTTGGCAGGACGTTCAACAAAGACGGAAGATGCACAAACGCAGCAGACCCTTCAGGACCAGTCCCAATGGAAGTCGACGCAGCGCAGAGTGGTGGCAAAGGAGCAAAAGGCAAGGGAAAAGGAAAAGGTTGCGCGATCTGCGGACGACCAGGACATAGAGCACAAGATTGCAGGCTGAAGGGAAAAGGCAAGGGTAAAGGCAATGGCAAAGGTCGAGAGGTGAAGAACAGCTTCGAAGGCGAGTGTAGACATTGCCGAAAGAAAGGACACAAGTGGGCAGAGTGCAGATCACGACTTCGAGGAGAACCACCAGCCAAGAACGTAAGGTCAGTCGAAGAGAAGCCAGCGAGTGCAACGATCGAGGAGGTCAACGCGGAGGACGACGAGTACGAGTGCGACCTGTGCGAGCACGAGGGTGACTTCGACGACGAGCACTGGTGCAGGATCTGCTACCCAGATGAGGACTACGAGGATCACGATGCAGACTACGAGGATCCAGATGCACACGACGAGGACCCAGAGGCTAACGTCAGGGAAATCGATGTCTACGAGAGGATCGAGGACGACGAGGCCGAGTCGCAGGAGGTCAAGAGCTACGACGACCAGGGCGACGACGGGAGCGGCGAAGAGAAGTGGGTGTTCAACGTCTGGGACGAGAACATGGACAGCCAGGGCCATGAGTTTCTTCCCCTGGACAGCGCATGCGAGGAGCACGCCTGTCCGTGGAACTTCGCCGACGACGGAGTGGACATTGGACCTGGCGGCGTTCGACTCAGAGGAGCAGATGGTAGCAAGATCGAGTCAGGTCGCAATATCATGGTCGAGTACTCGGTGCTGGACATCGACGGTCGCACGGT